TAAGTCTAAGCCAAGCCTAAGCCTAAGCCTAAGCAAGCCTAGACATAAGCCTAAGCCTAAGCCTAAGCCTAAGCCTAAGCCTAAGCCTAAGCCAAGCCTAAGCCTAACCAAGCCTAGGCATAAGCCGAATCCGAAGCCTAAACCTAAGCCTAAGCCTAAGTCTAAGCCAAGCCAAAGCCTAAGCCTAAGCCTAGGCAAGCCTAGGCATAAGCCGAATCCGAAGCCTAAACCGAAGCCAAGCTGGCACATTGCTTATCCTTTTCGGAATGCGACGTTAAAAAGATTTTTTTCCTAACAATTTTCCCCACCAAAAATAGGCTCGTCACCCGTTTATGCAAATTCCCGACCTCGCCTTGAAATCGAGCTGATTTCGTGGCTATCATTAGTGCTCGACCGGCCCTTATCTCCGAAATCCTTATCAATCCGGAATTTTCGCGCGCAATTTTGCATCTGCACAGCTGCCGTCGAAGTTAGTAGGTGCATTCTTGATTAATCCTAAACAAATGCCATTGCAAGCTCTATTTTTTTCCTATTTTTTTCTATCTATTTCTATTTTTAAGCCTGATTTTCGTAAAGAACCTCTGCTAACACGCCTTTTCGACAAAGTCACATTTTTCTAACCTTTTTTGTTTTCGCTTCACCCTAACCTGCACCCCCACTTACCGTCCCCCTAGGTCGATGTCATCGCAGCGTCGCATCCCCACCAGCGTCAACGCCACGATCCACACTTCCGGTCTCGACGAGCCGATGCGACACCTCCAAGTCGTCAAGCCGACGGTGCGCAACGAGAAGGAGGAGGATGTTGGAGATGAGAAGCCGCCGTACATCCCCCACTCGGCCATCTACCCGTCGCGCAGCACGTCGAATAGCCCCGAGGATCAGTCCATCGAGAACCAACAGCGTAATTTTTTTTGGTTAAATAATCTTTGCTGCTTTTTTCACTATTAAAGCTCGAATTCCGCAAAAATCTCTGCTAGCTTCCCCACCTTTCCCTAAAGGATTTTCGCTGGCATTTCCCTAGATTCCTAAAGTATCTCTGCTAGATCGCCGATGGCTAGCCAGCAACGTTAATTTGTGAATTTTTAAGTTCTGCACTCACCCGCACCCACCAAATTAACCCACTAAAATTATAATATTTTTGACGATTTTTAGGATATAATTGGTTACGCTATATATTTCTCCATTTTTCAGCCCAAATCGAGGTGATCCCATGCAAAGTGTGCGGCGACAAGTCCTCCGGCGTCCACTACGGCGTCATCACCTGCGAGGGGTGCAAGGTACATTGTGTTTTTGATTATTTTCTCAAAGAATCGATGCTAGTTTGCCATTTCCTAAAGGACATTTGCTAGCCGCCCCCCTCTTTACCGGCTCCATTCCAAATTACAGCCCCCCTCGAGGGGGTGTCCCGGGGGGGATCGGATCATCCGGGTCTAGGGAATTGGTATCATAATGTCGAAAATCATAATGTCGAAACTCATAATGTCGAAATTCATAATGTCGACATTTCATAATGTCGAAATGTCATAATGGCGAAATTTCATAATGTCGAAATGTCATAATGTCGAAATTTCATAATGTCGAAATTTACATAGGCTAATTACCGGTGAAACCGCCAAATCCTAGCCAAAAAATTTTTCCCACCTTCTATTTTTTGTCTAGAATTCGGGGACTTCACCGGGAATTTTAGCTTATGTAAATTTCGACATTCTGACATTTCGACATTATGAAATTTCGACATTATCAAATTTCGACCTTATGAAATTTCGACATTATGAAATTTCGACATTATGAATTTCGACATTATGAGTTTCGACATTATGAATTTCGACATTTTGAAAATAAGCCCATTTCCTAAACGACATTTGCTAGTCGCCCCCCTCTTTACCGGCTCCATTCCAAATTACAGCCCCCCCTCGAGGGGGTGTCCCGGGGGGATCGGATCATCCGGGTCTAGG